CAATAATGTAAAAAGTTTTCATTAAGACTAATAAAGATAAGAGCATGGTCTCACCTTAAACATTAAAAAAAAAAAAAGAATGTATTATAGAAAGTGGAATAGGTTCTGTTAGTTGAATTGTGTAGTGATATGGTAGTTTAAAATTTAACTTCAAACTACATTCACAGGTATTATTATATATATTATTATTATTATTATTTTCTTCAGCTTCACATATTTCTAATTTAATTCGATCAATTGCCTATTTAGAAATTTTTCTAACTAGTTGTTCAAATCTCTCATTATTAAGTATAAATGGGTCAATAAAAACAATATTCAAACCAAAAGCTCCATTTTTTTTTTAATTGATGCTGGCAAAAAGCACGGTTAATGTGTAAAAATACTTGATCTAGCCCACTTGCTGCTTCAATTGCTTTTTTCAAACAGCCATGACTTCCTTCTGCTCTTTGTGTTGAATGAACCCTCATATGTAGATAATTTTTCGTAAAGACATTCATCTAACATTCTTTATCTTTTTTCTATTCTTCAAAGTAAGCCAGGATATAGTTAGGATCTCTACTTTTCATTGTTGCTTCTTTTACTTTGTCAAATGCTTTTTCGACTATACTCATCTCTTCTGCATAAGCGACTTTTTGAATTAATAATAATAGCTTGTTATAATCATCTTTATTGTCAAAAAACTTTCTGCATGCAGTTCTTAGATTTTGTACAAGCATATGCCAAATGCAGACCATTTTTTTTGCTTCTGAAAAAACTATATTTACTGCTTTTCTAAGAGCTTGGGATCTATCTAAAACAAATACTTCTGGGGTACAAAAGAGTTTATCATATATTATTTCTTTTAAAGTATTTAAAAACTATTCATATGTATATTCTTGCTCATTTTCTACCCATGCCATTGCGATTTGGTAGGTATCAAGAGATTTTGTATTACCAATATTACTGATGCCAACAGCATTTATAAGGGAAAGCTTATATAAGTTTGTTTTATACGTTGCATCTACTATAAGCACTTCTGGACATATAGCAGTTTAGTAAGCTGATTCAATATAGGTAAAGAACAAGTTTCTTAAAGAACTATCTTTTGACAATACATGATGAACTACATACTGACGCTCTTCTAACATTTGCATAAGTTGCATAGTTGTATCACAATTTGAGCCTTTATTCAAAGCATTTTTAATTCTACCACGTTTATTAACAATATCTTTTGTATATACTGTACCATGTTTCCAATATATTGCATCAGCAACTGACTGAACTGACACCCTACTTTTAATCATCGTATGAACTGTCTCTTTTTGTTTTGGGTTAAGAATTCAATGTTGATAAAGACAGTGAACTTGTGATTGTGAGAGAAGTTCATGGTTATGTTGATTTTTAGAAGATTGTACTACCCAAGCTTCAGCTTTCTCATCCAAAACAGCATACAATGTGACAGGGCAGTTTTGGCGTTTTGTAGATTTAACTCTTTTTCAAGTTTCCTCTATAACTTTATAGTTATTTCTATATTTGCCTCCCATTGTACACTGCAGAGTAACAAAAGGTATACGATTATCTTTTTTA